GCATACAACCGTGACTCCAGAGGAGCATGAAATTACCCTGACAGTCTAGCCACGAACTTTAATCATTGGAATAGGGAGCAGGAAAGCCACTCGTGACTGATGAGTACCTTGGATGCTAATGGAAGCAAGACCAATTTGTTCTATTACATAAAAGAAAAACATACACCACAAAATATAATGGAATAAATGCAAAGAAAGAAGCCAAAGAAAAAACAAAAAAGAAAGCAGTACAAAAATGTGATAAATATTGTCTTGCTAAGACCGAATGCGTGACACCCACAAGTTAGAAGAGGAAAAGTTTATTTTAGCCTATAGTTTGCACAGGCTTCAGTCCAGAATTGGCCGACAGCATGGCGAAGTGGGGGGCACGGCACAGGACAAACAGACTGGGGGGCGGGCAGGCAGGAAGCAGTAAGAAGCCACAGCAAACGTCCCTTTTATCTCCTCCAGGTTATTTGGGGTGCAGCCACATGTGCAGAGCGTGGTCCTTTCTGTTCTCAACACCCAGAACTATACTAAACAAAATAATGGACTAATCCAAGATCACACATGCCTAATCCCAGTACCACACATGCCTGATCCCAGTACGACACATGTTAGATCCAGCCACATCCCCAAAGCCCCACCTATGAGTACAAGAAACTTCGGGGAGGTATCTAGACACAGGCCTTAACAAGCAGGAATATTGTTGCTAATGTATGCTGTAAGTACATTAATGTTGACAAATATCCACAAAATCAGCACCTACACTCTTAAAAGTGTCTGGAAAACTTCTACAAAAGAATACATGGATAATAAATCACCATGTGGGAAAAATGAAGCACTTTTAGTCATTACAGAATGTGAAATTAAAGTATAAAATATATCACCATACGCCAATTAAACTTTTTAATGATTAAAAATTTGATTTACCAGGCTGCCAGTCTCTGTTATTTGTTCAAAGACAGAGCTAAAAAGAACAGTGAACTCATTACATTTCTCAGAAGTATAATTTGGAAATACACAAAAGGATCATTGCCCACCCTTACATTTTAACTCCATTATTAAATGGGAAAGAGTATGCAGCAAGGAAATAAGGCCAGAAGGGAAATTTCTCCTAATTGTAGGCCTTCCTGTTTGTTTGCACTAGTTGCCCAGTTTCCCAAGTACTGCATGGGTGACAGAAATGGCCCACGCTGGGCTTCTGCTCAGGCTACAGCCATGTCAGAGAAAAGAACTGAGCTCTGAATTCACTTCAGTGGTGGGTGTAAGCAAGCCTGCTCTGCACCCAGGAGCAAAGATGAGCTTATTCTTTAGGCATGCTTGCTGCAAGCACATCTCTGAGAAACGACCTTGGCAATGAATAGTCAGGGTCTCGCACTCTTTGCACAACCAACAAGAATGTGCAGGGACACTCTGGCCCATGGATCACCTCATGCAACAACTTCTCATTAATTCAATCAAAAACTTCATTCAGGGGCCAGAAAGATGGCTTAGTAGAATAAGCACTTGCCTGGTAAGCACAAGTGCCTAAGTTCAATCCCGGTTCTGAAAAAAAAACCACTTCATTCAAACATATTGAGCTGCCTACTACACACCTGGCTCTCTGCTAGATGCTAACCACACTGCAGGAAAAAAATTCCCTGCACAAGAAGTGCATGCTTGTTAGTGGAAAGGCAGAGAATGGAAAGGAAATGAAATAGATGACATGGTGGTACTTCTGTGAGATGCTGTGACAAGAAATTAGTCCCAGAGCCAATGGGAGCAGCCTGCCTGCCTGAGATGGGACCAAGGAGCAGAGATGCAAAAGAACTCAGAGAATGACCACCATTTGTTTGAGAGAAGAGCATCCAGACAAAAGCGATGGCACAGCAGCCCTGGGAGGGGAACACATGTCATGCTCTAGGCAGTAGGCCCGTGTGGCCAGACTGCAGTCAGCAGGGCCACAGTGTTCAGGGCTTGAAGGGCGAGGAGCCAACGATGTACCATTGAGACTCAATAGAGTTTTCTAAAGGACAGATTATGTGGATTTTTTTTTTTTATGTTATAACATTTACCTAAAATACTGACATGAAGGCAATCAATCTGAACCCCCATCTAATATGTGCAAGGCAGATTGATGTTATAGACAAATGAAAGGGGAGTCAAGGGCCAGAAAGCTGAGTCCCAACAAATAACCTCAAGCTATGTGTGTTGGTCAGCTCTGGCTGCAATGGCAAATGCCATAGGTTACAGGGCCTGAGTTTCAGCACCTATTTCTTATGGTTCTGAGGGCTGCAAATCCCCTGTCCAGGTGCTGAGAATTTTTTCCCTGCAGTATCTTTAGCATCTAGCACTGAATCAGGTACATAGTAGGCAGCTCAACATGTTTTCCTCCCCCGGGGAGGATCCTCTTCCTGGGTGATGGGGTGGGAGCAAGTGAGGGCTCTAGTCATCCCTCAGTAGGACACTAGCCCTGTCAGCTCAAGATTCTGCCCTTGGGACCTCACTTGACCTTTTGAAAGCTCGGCCTCGACACAAATACATTGCAGGTTAGGGATTCAAACTAGGAGTCTTGACAGGGAAGCAAAACAATTCTGTGCAGAGAGCAAGTTGACAAATGTGTCTTGCATTTTGTTTTGTTTGAGATAGGATCTTGCGATGTATTTGCCACTGACCTTGAACTCCCTACATAGCCCAGTCTAATTGTGAACTTGTGGGGATTCTCCTGCCTCAGCCTCCTAAGTGCTGGGATTCTGTAATCCCAGCCTGTGTACATGCCACCTGGCTCAACATTTTTCATCTGCAATTGGGAATAGTGCCTTAAAGCATTGCTAGTAAATTTATTAAGTATGAAAAAGAAAGTGTTTTTGTGGAATATGTCAGAGATTAACACTATGCTAAAAATGATGTACATCACAGGTCACAAGAGAACTGCATTTGACATCTTGTCTAGGACTTAGAACAGGAATACTTACCACCATCATTCATTGGACACTGTGTGCTACTGGCTTTAACTTTAGTTTTATAACCATCTTTTGTGCAATACACTTACTTCCATTTTTCAAATGAAAAGGCTGTCTCAGAAAGTCTAAGTGGCTCGGCACCTCCGAGTGATAGATGGTGTGATATAAAAAGCATGCTATGAAAAGAGCATGCAAAGAAAGAAGAGAAATTGGCACCCTAAAAATGGATCTTATGCTTGCAAACGTATGGGAGGAAAAGCCAAGACTGAGAATCCAGGTGCATCGTGTATTCACAGAACAGTATTCTTTGTTCTTGTTGCCCTGTACATTCAGTGAAGGGAGGAGAGTAACATCGTGAAAGTATTTCAAAGGCTACTCTGCATTTTCTTCTAAAGGATTCTCTTTGTTAGGTTAATTTCTTCAAAACCTTCCCGAATCCAGCTTTTTCCTGAGCACTTTGTAACCCTGCTCTGTACCAGTACCCTGCCTGTTCATCTCCTGTGCTCAAAATGTTAGCCATCCCCAGTCCAGCCAGGCTTGGAGGACCAGCCCACTGAATAGTGTGTCCTAAAAAGACTGCTAGTAAGTTGAACACGTATGTAAGTATGTAAAAGTGTTCTGTTATTATGAATATAAAATGTTCACCTTTATACTTCAGTAAAATTTCAACAGCCTCCTCCAAGATGCCTTCCTTGATTAGCACATACATCCCCCTCTCTGTGTCGGGACAGTCCACCATTTCTGACATCAACTACTTGGGGCTGAGGCTATACTGTAAGTCCAGGTACCTTTGATTCGTCTCCTTTATACCATTTATACCTAAGCCATCGTTCCTTAGGTCCTGCGAGTGTGCTGTCCTGCCTGTATGTATGTAAGCCAGAACTGTCACCTAAGGTACAAAGCAGAAAGCGCCTCCTCGTGAGCGAACCAGGAAGGGAGAATAAAGAGGAGCGGCCTTGGAGCCTGGCCGCTCCGGGAGGAAGCAGCCCCAGGTGTGCGCACCTGGGAGCACTAGAAAGAAGCCCGTCCACCGGCTCCAGCCTAGGCGGCTCTCCAGAGCTGCTCTTGCTAGGAGCTAACCCTCAGCGCCTCCCGGCGCTGCTCTTTAGGTTAGCAAGCCCGCGCCGATGAACTACTGCTTTAACATGTGATACTGAAAACAGGAGGAGGAGGAGCAGGATGTGTAGAGTCGCGGGAATTTCACTTATTTTCTGCCTTTGCTCAAGGGTGCTAAAAGCAACTCCGAGGGCTAGCGTCAGGGTACTTACCCAGCATATGGAAAGCCCTGGGTTTCCACCTCAGCAGCCCTAAAATAAAAACTCTCCAGCTTGAATTTGGGAGGCACTCAAAGAGTGAGAAGTTCGGGTACGTTGGGGGTGGGGATTTAAATTGGCAATGAAGAAGGAAAACTCGCTTTTTCTGGTCTCCGCCAAACTACGCTCCTCTGCAAAGAGCCGGGAGTGAACTTGAGGCGCAGCTGAGAGCTCGAGGCGGTCGGACTGCGAAGGAAACGCGGACTGGAACTAGGTTAGGGAGCTCGTCGTGCCCGCCGCTCTGCTTTTCGCTCGGGTCGGGATTGAAGAAACCTTAACCCCTTCAGCCGAGACACTGAGCTCTGTCTCTACCAAGCCACTGAGCCAAACGCGAAGGTGGCGCCTAGGCAATTCCTACCAATCTTTCCCCGAGACCTAGCCTTTGGGATTCTCTTGGCGCAGCCTGGGCAGGGCGACCTGCTCCGGTGGAGTTGCAGGTCCCGCTCCTATTGGTGGGTTCTACAAACTGCCCCGCCCACTCCAGCCCCACCAGGTGCGGCTCAGCTGGTGCTTCTGCTGCGGCCGGCGGGGACTCGGAGCTCCGCTCGGGGATTCCCAGCCTAGGTGGCCCCAGAGTCTGCGAAGCGGGCCGAGCAGGACAGAACCTGCCCCTTCCCCTGCCCCCTCCCCTGCCCCCTTTTTTCTCCTTTGGAAAAGATGGTCTATGAGGACTCCAGGCAAAAACGCCACAGGAAGTCTGCAGCCCCAAAAGGGAGCAGGATAGGGCGACTTAGACTCTCTATGGTCCTTCCCTGGGACGCAGGGTTCCCTTTCTGCCCTCCCCTTCCACGCCCCGACTACGCCTCAGCGCCCAGCTCAGCAGTCCCGTGCCAAGGCTCCATGGAAGCCGCCTCCTCTCGGCGGCCACCCCGGGGTCAGCCCTTCTGGGGGCCCCAGAGACCTGCCGCGGTAGCCCAGCCCCAGGCGGCAGTGGGTCCACACCCGGGGGCGCGGTCCCGCCTGGTCGGGAGCCGCCCTACTCTGTCTGCACGGTGTTGGTGGTGACTCTGCTGGCGCTGCTGATCGCGGCCACTTTCCTGTGGAATTTGCTGGTTCTGGTCACCATCCTGCGCGTCCGCACCTTCCATCGCGTGCCGCATAACTTGGTGGCTTCGACGGCCGTTTTGGACATCTAGTGGCAGCAGTGGTGATGCCACTCAGCCCGATGAGGGAGCTGTCGGCCCGGCGACGGTGGCAGCTGGGCCGGAGCCTGTGCCACGTGTGGACCTGCTTCGATGTGCAGCGCTGCGCGGCCAGCATCTGGAACGTGGCCGCCATCGCGCTGGACCGCTACTGGACCATCACGCGCCACCTGCAGTGCACGCCGCGCACCCGCCGCCGCGCCTCGGCGCTGGTGATCGCGCTCACCTGGGCGCTGGCGGCGCTCCTCGCCCTCCCGCCACTGCTCTTAGGCTGGGGCCGACGCCGGGCTTCAGCGCTGCCGGGCGAGCCAGGAGCCATCCTGCGCTGTCTTCTCCACCTGTGACGCCTTTCACCTGCCTCTCGGAGTGGTGATAGTTGTCTACTGGAAGATCTACAAAGCCGCCGAATTTCACTTGGGCCGCCGGCGCCGGGCTGTGCTGCCGTTACCCGCCACCGTGGAGGTGAGGAAAGGCCTGTGGCCTTGGGGAAAAGGGGTCGTGGGAAAGAGGGCGTTTGGGAAACTGCGTAGAAGCTTGCACATCTGAGCCGCGCTTGCAGATGTTGGCAGCCAGCACATCTGGAGCGCGCCAGGAGTTTATGGTCTGCTCTCTGAAGAGCAAAGAACAGGCTTATCACCTGCCCTCCTGCTGCAACTCTGAAGTGCTCCGCACGGGCCACTGCGTGCTGAACGCCAGAGAAGGGGAGGGTCAACCACTCGCACACGCACACCAGTGCTGAAGCCCAAGCTGAGAGCACTGCCCTCCACGCTGCGTGGCTTGCAGATGCAGGGGGCTTGCGGGGGCGCCTTTCCTCTACCTAATTAGCTGCGCTCTTTGTTCCTTTTCCTCTGGAGTGATGGTGCCTATGGCCGTCTTAGAGCATCCAACTTCTTGGTCTCCGCTAGGCTGTGCAGGATGGAATTTGTCCTGCTGCAGATGAAGAGATTCCCACGCCATTCGCCCTTTATTTCATGCTTCCGTTGGACTCTAGTCCATTCTGGAATCCAGAGACGGACCATATTCACCAACTCTGCCAGCCGGCACCCTGCTGCGGCGGGGGAGTGAGGGTGATCCGAGACTCCCGAGGGCCGCTTTCTTTTGGCAATCCCAACCCCAGCTCTATCTTCCAGCGATTTTGGAGGATACCTTCCGATCCTGTTTCATGATGGTTAAGCAGCTGCATACTTTCTGTATGCCTCCTCTCCCATTTTTTAATGACAGCTAGATGGTTGTTTAATTTCTGTATGCATCTTTTCTTCATCTCTAAACAATATGATCTTACTCAAAGTCCATTTGCAAGCCCTCAGACACCCAAACGCTGTAAATAATGTGCCAGAAATACCACCTCTGTGACTTCCCCACTTCCTTTTCTCTAGGCTGCAGGGGAAATGAGTTGAATTCCAGTGTTATAAATTGCCTGTCCTTCTTCCTGTTGGTGACAGAAGTCTGTGCTGATGGTACTGTGTACATTCTTTCTCCAGAATTCTGTGCCTAGGTCCAAACACTACAATGTTATCAGAAAGGAGCCTGCGACAACTCCTGGACAGTCAGGACTTCTTTTGGACAAAATACACTTTTAGAAAGCAGAATATTTGGGCTTTTAAAATGTGACATCATGTTTTTAATTATGTGGTCTTTTTTTATCCTTTCAAATTGCTTGTTTTATTTCTGTTCACAAATTGACCCAAGGGCCTACTTATTCATCTGCGCAGTACATTTATCACACAGAGTCACACATTATTTTAGAGTGTCCTGGACAAGTTTTTATTTATGTCTTTAAAAATTAGAGGAAAATCAATACAGTAGTAAAGAATATATAATAATAAATGTAGCCTTGGTTTTATCAGGTTTTTGTGAATATGGTCATATAGTCAGTGTGTAAGATCTTCAGTGTAGGAAGGGACCATCAGCAAAAGAGTTGGGAGGCACCCTTGGTTGATAAATTTCAAATATGCTCAGTCAACAAACATATCAGGAGAGAGCATGCACTGTAGCTTAATGAATAGGATTTGTTAAGGAGACCAGAGTTTAAATTCTTTTTTTATGCCACTCAGCACTTTAGTCAAACGACTTAATCTAAGTCTAATTTCCCCACATGTAGAATGAAAATATCATCTGTCTCATACTTTTCTTGTAAAGAGTAAATTAAAGTGTATGTAGAAGACTTCAAATAATAAGGCATAAGTAAGTTACCCCAAAGCATACTGTCTTAAAACAAAAGGCGTGTTAGCTCACACTTTCTGGGAATGCCCTAGGTGAGTAGTTCTGGCCTGAGGTTTTGCACAGTGCAGTCATGATGTCACATGGGGCTGTAGTCATTGGAGGGCAAAGAGACTTGGGAGACTTTCCTTCCATGATGGCTTGCACGATTCTAGTGAGAGACCTTAGTTTCATGCTGAAAGGAGGCATTCATAGGGCTTCGTGGAAGTTCCAAAGTCCCAGACAGCTTCCCTGAAAATGAACAATCCAGTAGAACACTGGAATGCCTATTATGACCTAGTCTTAGAACTCATCCATGATCACTCCTACTACATTCCAGTCAACAGAAGTTAGTCAAAGAACATGGCCCATACTTGTAAGGAAGGTGTCTCTGTTACTCTTCTTTTGTTGCAGGGACAAGATACCCAACACCCAAAATGAAGGAAAGAAAGGTTTATTTAGCTCAAAGTTAGTGGAAGATTCAGTCCATACTCAACTGGCTCCAAGGCAGAGTGGCACAAGGCAGAGGGCAGCAGTTCATGGCAGCAGAAGGCAGCAAAACAGCAAGGGCAAAAGGGTAGAGTAGCAGCAACAAAATAGCAACAGAGAACAAGTCTGTCTCCCTAATGCTGCATTCAGGCTATCTGCCCCAGGGTGGGTGTAGCACTCACACCCATAATCCCTGCAGCACTTACACCTATAATCCCAGCACGGGATCATGAATTAATCACAAAATCTAGAAATCAGCCCCATACCTACATGAGGCTTTGAGGGGACAACTACACACAAACCATAACAGAAGGGAACTTGACCCTTGGGAGACGTGTCAGTCAACTTGTGGATATTTGAACACAGTGAATGGCAAGTACGTGTGGCTCTTGATGTTCCTGCGGGGGAAGGATGGTGAGAGGATGGGAAAAATAAAGAAACAAAAGCTGAGTTCAGGTGGAGCTCGCTGTCTTTGGATGGGAGGAAAGGAAACTGCTCAACCACTATGGGGGTGTTTATACATTTGATAAAGTTAATGTCATGTGACATAGCCTGTCTCTGGAGCTCTTTGTTCTTGGACCAGCCTTGCCTCACCTCCACAGGTGTGACCATCTGCCAGATTGAGCCACTCCCTGCACAAAGTGACAAGTTTCTCCAGGAGAATCAACAACACACCATCTTCCTCTCCAGTTTTCCTCTTATGCTGTTGCCAATAACGCTCAGGTGGGCCATTCTCACCTAGAACCCTGCTGATTCAGTTCAGCTGGGTGTTATAAGTTGACCATTAGTTAATAATTTACCACAGTATACATGGGTCAAGAATAAAAATGTGGATTAAGAGGGCTGACATTGTTATGAAGGGCTTATAAGTCTCCAGATCCAGAGCCATACCCCTGGGGTCTAAGACAACTCAACTAAACTTTTTGACTGATGTGACTACCGAGATCATCGTAGACTTTAACCAGATGTTTCATTTTGGTGAGATTGGTTTCCATCTTTTCCAAATTATTTATCTTAAAAAAAAAAGATTTCATTGGGCATCACACAAGTTCCCCATTTCAACTGAAAGGAGTTGGGGCACTCACCTATTTTGCAAGATTCCCTCAGCCAGGGAATTTTAAACTTTCTTTTTGAGCCTCTGTGGTTGGCCATTGCCTCCAGTGACTCGTACAGTACCCTGGATGGAGGTGTGAACCACCTGAATGTCCACTGGCCTGAAGAAGCCTCAGAGGATTTTGTGACCCAGGCCCATACATCTGCAAGATTCTGTCTTCAGTAGGGTCAGCTGGTACCTTCTGAGGGATCCGTTAAAGTCTGACCTTTGTATCCCCCCACTCCAAGTCACCCAGGTTCTTGAGCTCTGAGCATAAGATCCTACTCCTCCATCCGCTCCCCTCTATCTGAGTCTGAGAACAGTGTCTACTGTGCTAGGACCTGAAACACTCACCCTAACTACCAGGTCATAGTGTCTACTGCTATAGACATCTACTCATCCATACTTACTCCCTGACTCTCCACCTTTGTGTCACCCCATCTAAGCCTGTTCCTGTAATCCTCCACCCTATACATAAAATACACATCTCAATAAATTGGATGTGGGTTCTCCTTTCGAGTTACTCCAGGAAGTCCAACCCAGAACCCCAGTTATGGTTTGTGTCTAGTTGTTCCCCCAAAGCCTCAGCAGTCATGGGGTGGGCTTCTAGAGTTTGTGATTTACTCATGATCCACTGGGATTATGGGTAAGAGTGCTGCTGAGATTATGGGTGTGATTACTACACCCAGCCTGGGGCAGATAGCCTGAATGCAATTTAAGGGAGACAGACTTACTCTCTGCAGCCATTTGTTGCCACTATTCCTCCCATTTGCTCTTGCGCTCTGCTCTCTGCTGCTGCCACGAAAGACTGCTCTATTCCATGTGCCACTCTGCCTTGGAGCCAGCTGATTATGGATTAAAACTGCCACTGACTGTGAGCTAATAAACCTTTCCTTCCTTCGTGTGGGGTGTTGGGGCTTTTATCTCAGCAATGAGAAAAGAGTAACTGGAAGAGCCACCAAATTCTCCTGGCTGCCTTCTTTACTGGATTTTCACCATTTACCCAACATGACCAACTTACTGGTTTCCTTTAGTAACCTTGTTTTTTTTTCCATAATTTTATTGATAAACAAATAGCAATGAGACAGTTTCAAATCAAATTGGTAGGACAGTTTCAATAATTAACACATTGCAAATATCCCTCCCAGTGGTTAATGGCTATAGAAGATGCGGACATGATATCCTATCTACAAACACCATTAGAACAAATCCCTCTATTCCTTAATAGAATGTGACCATATATCTATCCCAACCACCTTGAATACACAGATACAAAATGGACATTCATCTGTATACCCTTTTTTTGTTGAGTTCCGTTAGTTGAATATTATAGGTGTGTTAACTCAGCAAAATAATCCAAACGAGTTCATTAGTTCATAATAGTATTGGGTCTTCCACTTCACTGGCAATGTCAGAAATTGTTGACCTGAGTCCCCTATAGCTCAACATAACAGCATGGCTTTAACTTCTTACATTTCCTTTTTATACTTTTCTGCTGGGTGATTAAGACCAAGGTAAAGCGGGACCTATGCAATAAGAATTGTAGATTTTGGGTCTGATAAGGTCAGTGAAATCCCCTCAGGGCTTATCCTGAGATCCTGTACCTCAGATTGTAGATCCTTTGTCAGTGTCAGCCATGTGGATGAGTCACAGCCATTGCTTGGCCAATGTGCTTTCTGTA